TGACGTCATTTCTGTTATGTTTGGATCCAGCTTTTCTTAAAAGCTCATGTGAATACATCAGAGATGACAGACATCATCATCCAACAAAATCATGTTGGAAGTGTCGTCAAGGTGAGTAACTCGGTAGTTAAATATAAAAAGGATTTGTACATTATTTTTGTTTATTTCTCCAGTTTCAACCCAAAAACAGCTGTGCTCAGAAGTTTACATACATGATCAAGGAAATATATGTCATGAAAATTTGGGCTTTCGGTGACTTCTTTGAACTGTTCATCTTAATGCAAACAATGCATACTGCACACATCTTAATGACTTAAAAAACTGCATTTGGGAGTACATGTTTGAATTTCTTTTGGAGTTTTATTAATCCAAATGGGATCAGAAGCAAACATGAGGAACCAAAGAGCTGAAATATACATACATTTATTTAAATATTTTGATTAGGGGTGTTGAAGGTTATACAGTGTCTTGACTTGATGAGGCCAAGGCCCATTTATCTTATTTGTAATCATTTACTACAACTGGTAGTTTATCTTTAACAGCAATACTCAGAGCAGTTATTCGAATGTGGGACAACTTTGCCAAGATCTGGACAAAGACCTAAACTGTCACCCTGAGATGAGTTGTTTTGGATGTTCAGGAACCACCCAAGTTCAAGCTGTGAACTGGAAACTGCTGGAACACCAGCGTCAATTCACTGTCCACAGAGAATCCTTTGAACCTAAGAACACTATACTTTCAAACATGGTGGTGGCAGCATGATGCTCTGGAGCTGCTTTGCTGCTAACAGTATTTCTACATTGTACAAAGTGGATGGCAACATTAGGCTGGAATAAATTCAAATGTGTGCACCCAAGTGTTTTCTTTTTTAAAAGATGTATGTTGTGCAATCATTCCACCAGGAAAAGAAACAGAAAAAAAATCATTTAAAACCCAAACCTTGACATTCATGCTCATTCACATTCATTTCTGAGCAGCTGTTTATTTACTTGTCTCTCTACTATGCTCCAGCAAGCTGAGGTGCCCGAAGACAGCGACGATGATGACGACCCAGATGAAGTGTTTGGCTTCATCACCATGCTCAACCTCACAGAGAGAAAGGTCAGATGACTAGCAAACTAAAACGAATTAGGTTTGAATGGGCTGGAATATGTCACTGTTTTTTTTTTTTTTTTATTTTAATATAAATTGTCATACCTACGTCTGGAACTGTTCACAGGGTGTACAATGTGTGGAGGAGGTGAAGGAGCTGATTGTGGATCAGTGTGAGAAGAATGCTTCTCATATTGTGACAGAACAGCTGGAGAAGATCTTTAATGATAACAGCAAGCCTGTGGGGCTGCTGCTAAGTGAGCGCTTCATCAATGTTCCTCCACAGATTGCCCTTCCACTGCACAAACAGCTCCAGTAAGTTCTGCTTTACCTTCTCATTCCATCTTTAGTGGTTTGTTATTGGTGTGAGAGCAGGTATAAGATGGTCAGGATGGTGTTTGAAAACACTGAAATAAGACAGAACATGTGCAATACTTTGCAAATCTTATAAATCAGCATTTTATTCACAGTAGAATGTATGAAATATATCAAATGTTTAAACTGAGACCTTTTAGTATTGCATGAAATATATTAGCAGCAACACACCTTAAAAATGTTGGGACAGGTCCATGATTACTATAGTGTAGGATCCCCTCTTAACTGTTGAACATCTGGGAACTGATATTTACCAGTTAACCTAATTGGCTACAAATTAATCCAGCTTTTTCTTTTTAATACCACTTACTTTCCCACCCTTTTATTGCTCTCATCCCAATGTTTTAATACATGTTGCGGTCATCAAATTCAAAATGATACTTTATTTTTTATGAAACATTTGATGTTTTGTGTTCTATTAATAAAATATGGTGGTGAGATTTGGAAATGATTCCATTCTGTATTTATTTTTAATAGAAACTAGAAAAACATCTATTTGTGTGGGTTAAAAGATTTTCATGTTACGGTCCTTTAGGGAAGAAATCGCTGAAGCTCAGAGGACAAATAAGCCCAGTGGTAGGTGCCACTACTGCCTGATTATCAGCAAGACCTGTAGAGAAGAGACCAAGAGCATCCCAGCCACAGGAGGAGCTCCCAAAGAGGAATACATGTTTGTCAATGCAGAGGAGGAATTCTTTTATGAGGTAAAGTGGGGAAAAAAAATCTGCACAGAGTTCAAGGTTTTAACTAAATATTTATTATACACGGGGCCACTTGCTTAACAGTATCTGGGTAATAATACAGCAGTTCGTTAGCTCATGATAAATATTTAAACAGCCATCTGATAACCTATTCAATATATTTATACTCTGATTTCAAGCCTGATCCGTGTTTGCCTTACAGCAAGCCATCTTGAAGTTCCACTACACAGTCCAAGAAGAGGCAGACTCCTGTTTAAGTGGGAGGTGGTCATTTACGGACGTGCCCATGAAGCCTTTCAGGACTGTGATGCTGGTACCCACAGACAGAATGCCTGCCATCATGGAGAAACTCAAAGAATATCTATCAGTGTGACCTTCACAATAAACCAAGACACCTATGGACACAGTGACAGCTTTCAAGCTTCTGAAAAACATTCAATATATT